AGCCCAACGACACCATTATTTTTAGAGATCGCCTCTAGCCTGAAACTACTATGTTAAGATCCAGAGACTATAATTGTGAGTAATAAGAGATATTGAACTTGAGAGTGCAGTAAGCGTGAAATTAGAAAAAGTATAGTAGGTAGAAAATTTCGTTATTTGTTTTTCTTTCAGTATATAATCATTTCATAGAATTCAATTCAATTATTGTCAGAGAATCGAAAATCTATTCTTTAAGCATATGTAGTCACAGTTTGAAGATAAACTTAATTAAATTTTTTAAATTTCACTCATAAATCGTTGCTCGTTACCGATTGTTGACATAAAAGAAACGAATAATTGAATTTGCTGATAAGCTACTCTAAACAGTCACACTGATCACATTTTCCGTAGGCATATAGTCTTGTAGGTATACAATCTGGTAGGAAGGTGGGCAAATCTCCAGAAGTAAGTACCTAATGTGTATGTAAAGTTCCGGAAATTAGTAAGAAGTGTGAAGTATAACAAATATAAAATGTAGCCTGCAGTAAATTCGATTAATTTTGTATATGTACTTAAAGGTATAACGCATAAATTACTGTGAGTAGAAACGACTGAAATGCTTATAAGTTATAACCAATCAGCGGAACAGTTATCTCAATCTCTAAAAAATAAAATTTTATTTTTTATCGAAAGTTTAAGTCATATGACCACAATATTTTATGCATAGCATAATTTTATCTATGCACATAATTTACAACAATGGGTTTCTTGTTGTTTCTTGTTATATTTGCTGTTTAAGTCTTTTTTCCATGACCGGTTCATTTTATTTTATCAATATGTGTATCCCTATTATACAGTACGTGGCATCTAGAATGGTTAACCAAGTCTTGTTGTAAGCCATTTAATTTTACACATAAACAATTTTGGTTCAAAAAAAAAAATGAGTTACTATATTATACTATTTCACTACTTCATTTCTATATATATAGGTAGGTCCAACTTATTGGCTATAGGCATTGTTAAGTTGATTCAAATAATAGAACAGACAACAATGCACTTACATAGTCGACAAAGTATCCCAAATTTCAAAACCTTCAATATTATATTATAGATTTAATTTTAATATGTTCACGTTCGCTATGCGCTTATTAATTTTACGAGATTTTCACAACAATAAAGTACAACATTTATAATATTGCCAGTTTTCTATAGAGGCCTCTTGTTTTTCACAATTTATTTTTTTACGTGTTCTTTCCCAGTTTTTTTTGTGATGTGTTAACTTAATTATTGTTATCACACTTCGAAACTACACACAATTTCCGGTTTTTTTTTTTTACAGAAAATTATGAAAAATTGTATTTATATCAGTGGCTCTAAAATGTTTATATTTTTGATTTCATGTCCCATCAAAATTCCTCAGTTATAATGACTAATACTATATAGGTATATTAGTTATCAATGTGAAATAGAATATTGTCACTATTTTTATTGAACTCCAAAATATTGTTTTCCATTTCAAAATAAAACTTGAAAGTATTTTAAGTTAATGTAAGATGATTATTTAATAGATAAATCATTGTATCTATTTGTACCGAATAAAACGTCCTGGTCATAATATTATTACTTATTACCTACTTTATGTTTTATATAACTAAGTACACATTTTCGAGCGTGTGTGGTTCATTTAATATACACTGTTAATTGTGATTCACCAAGCAAGCTCGCCCTATTTCTACTTCAATAATGCAATTATTCATAAACTGATATGTGTAAATTATTTATTTTGAGAAACGTATTATTTATACGTTTCTCGTGGTTTTCAATGTTTGTTAATAAACATAGTTGGTATCAGTTTCCCGTTTAAAATATTGAATATAAGGATTGTGTATTTTGGACTTCAAAAATATTGTTAAGTTTAAAATATTTAGAAGCCCATCGGCCATCAAACTAGGACATATGATATGAATGAGCCAATATTTATCGTAGCCGTTACAAAAATCATCGTTTGAGGTGTTATATCAGTACAGTGTTCTTCTTATTTTTACAACCAATAGTAGTTTCAAGTTAATTTTTTCTAGTTTTAGTCGTTTTAGTATTTGTATGGAGCAATAAAAAATAATCTATTTTTGTGGTGAATTGAAAAAACTGTTTATGGATGGGAGTCTCGATTAAATAATTTACACATCGACATTTACAAGTGATAATATAAAAATTGGTAAACATTTAACAACAGTTAAAAAAATATATAATAATAACTAGAAATTAAAAACAATAATTCCCGATTTCCATTTTCTGTTTCGACAATAATTAAAATAAAACTAAAGAAAACAATAACTCCTTATATCTATAAATAGCTTAAAAAGAGCCAATAGATTTTGATAATTTTAAAATGTACAGAAAATATTAATATAAACATTTCAGGTATCTGAATATTTTTTAGGTCAGAAAAAAACAAAATGGACTTTGTCAAAAACTAATTTTTCAAAAAAATTCCCGTTTTTCCTTAATTTTTATTTTGTTTTTCTTGGCCTTTTTAAAAACTACTATTTTAAATATTGACCTCTTAAAAGTACCAACTTGATTGACTTATCACCAGAAAAGACACTTAAGTTGAAAGCCGAGGCATTATTTCAACTAATTATTATCGTGTTAGCAGATCCAAATAATAAATTTAGAAAACACACGTTGTCTCATCTAAATAAAGTTGACTGTTCAGCATGCTTGATGAGTCACCCTATATATAATATTTTATGCGGTCAGCAATCCCATATATTGCGCATTAATAATAATTGTTGTATCAACTCGCTCGGTTTGTGCTGTTTGGCAATTGAAATATTGAGCATGGCAACGTTATGGTAGCTTTTGTGCACATCGGATACCAATATAAGAGTTCCAACAAGAGATCAAACGCAGTAAAACCGATGGCAGTTTTACCATTTCGAGAATCAAGTCAAACAAATATTATATGTATTAACATAGTACAGATGCATTGGGTTTAATTGTTTGTATAAATTGGAAAAAATAATACATTGCAAAAATAAAAAGGTTACCAGTAAAGCGTATTTATACCATTTATTTTACCACTCTAAAAGTTATTATTACTGTTGAGTATTTGTTTGTTAAACATTTTAATATATTCTATTTATTTAGAACGGTCAACCCAGTAAGTTTTAGTTGTAAATTAGTTTTAATTTTGTTGGTAATACGCTGTCCACCACCATATTAGTATGATGTATGTTATATAACTATGATAAATTGTTCTTTCGTAATTTTGCAGCCCTTTACTCCTTACTCGTCCGTTATACTATATAATCTAGTATAGCGCAGTCTTTACCCACCCGAAGTGAACAAAGTGGGAATTCGTCGCAAACATAATGCGACTTTAATCGAGTTTCATTAGTCTTTAATTTTATTTATTCCAAGCATTACATTTTTTTTTTTTTTATACATTTATTGATTTCACAACTATATGTGTGTGTGTGCGTTTTCATGTGTCTGTCATCAGTTGTAGCCTAATGGAGAAGTAAACAAACATGCTTCGATTTTAAACTAACCTAAATCCTAAATTATGTAAGGGGTGTAGTTTTACACCAACTCTCTATGACAAAATTAAAAATTGAATTGAATCCTTCCGAACTTGTGTCCATGTCACATTCTCATAATCACGTTTCACCAATTTATCGCTTCAGTGGATTTTCCGTTTGGAGTGATCATCCAGTCGTTACAATTTAAAGCAATTTTAAGATCGGATGGCCATTCAATTAAATTAAAAAATGACAAATTACATGTTTCACTAAACGAATTATTTCCAACAAAAAACAACTGAGATTTTGAAATATGTTGTACTTAGATATGTTTTTAATATACACCTTTTTGATGTTTTATTTATTGTTTAAATATTTGGATTTTATACGTTGTATCTACTTATATATTAGTCAAAATTCAAAGCATTTTAATATTCTTATTAAATATGTATTATGTATTAAGTAAAGTAGTGGTAGGAAGACTCGTTAGCACCCCTAGTAAATATATAAAAGGCGCCTTTTACAAACTAAATGATTGATGTAATGATATTTTTTTTGACCTTTATTTTTATAACAACAATTAATTGAACACTATTTGGGATATTCTTTTAGGTATTTTCATAATTTCATCATTAAATCCACGCGTAGTGTGTGCAAATAAACAAAATCTTATAAATTTAAAAATGTAATAAGTACAGCGAAAAAATGTTATTTTGCAGATAGAATAAAAAGATCACTTTTGAAGCACAATTTTTCGTCCTTTTACATTTTGCGCCCCTGGCGTAGGCACAGTTTTCCATACTTTAGCTATGCTACTGATGGCGCATTCACAGGCACGTCATGTGTCATTTCGTGTCATGTCGATCAAACCTTGTGATTAGACATTACTTTTTGATTTCATGTAATAACCAAGTTTCAACCGATTATACCAAGAATTGAAATAAAAAATTATAACGATGAGAAAAAATATATTTGCCTACCTAATAACATTGAGTATAGCCTAGTGGTTTACAGGTAAACCTATATATTTTTTTTCCAAATCTCTATTTAGAGATAAAAAGAAGTTACCTTGTACGTTTAATCTTATAATTAATAACCACTAATTAGACAATTTGCAAACAAACTACAACGCGCAGTATATAGGTTTACAGGATAACCCTCCTCCCATCGTGTCTCTTTTTACAATCACTATATACCTGCATACTCACCGAATACTTAAAGTGCTTAGGCATAAGTCACGACCAATAAACCTTGTTCTCCAATAGACTATGATAGAGTCAAGTACAATACAAATGCATAATACAATAGTATATAATGCAGTACATGTTAATGTCGTATCCTTTGCGCAGGTGAACATTCGTCAGGCGACGGCGGTATCATCATGACAACAAACACGCGCTAGGTACGACGAGTAGCTTCGTGTACTTACATTTATTATTTCTTTCAATCCTTTTCCTAAATAATTTCTGCTCGAACGCAGCGTTCGTTTTAGTTGCTTGTACGCGTCTGGACTTAACAGTAACGCGCCGGTGTCGCGTCTGCAAACACCTGAAATGGCGGATTACGAGTCTGGTAATGATAGACAGCGACTAAACTATATATTATTATATTAAATTATATTGTTATGCACTACACTGGCTGATGTATTACGCACCGTATTCTCTGAAATATTATTATTATCATCATCATCGTAGTTAAAACGTAGATACTCACTCTAAGTACAATAATTATAAAAAAGAACCACGTGGACTCGCTTCTGCTGTACAGTTGATTCCGATTATATACCTCATTAAGCTGCAGGGTCACTGTAATGATAATTAATAGTTTGATTTTCTCATCTACTACAATCCCACTATTATAAGATTTCTAAATAACACTAAAAAAACAGACACTGAGCTCTTTGATCTAAATAATGATATTAAAATGATATAATATTATAATTATTCTAAATTAAAAACAATCACGAATCTTTAATTTCCATTAATATCTTAGCGGAAATGGGTTTAAACTGCAACGTATACCGGTGTTCCAAAATACTTGAGTACGTATACAAATCCTTTTTCTTTTTAGTTTATACATTTCATATTTTCAATTTAATGGTTTTAAATGAAAACATTTTATTGAGAATAATAAAATAGTCTGGTACTTATATAATAATGTATAACTCTTAAATGTGGTTATACCTAACTATCATTTTGACAAATAAAATAGATAAGTAACTTGCAGCTACACCAAATGATACATTGTAAAATGAGAAATAAATTAATGTAAAACATTACAATGCTATAAATAATTTGATTCAATTTACTTTTTTAAAGTATTTATATTTGCATTCAATTTCTTTTCAAAATAAGTATCTGTACGGCTGAACTTGAATACTTTTAAGAAGTATCTTTTATAAGACAGATGCGTCTTTAACACTATTCGATAATTTTTAGAATACCGTCGATGATAGTCTCAGTAGTTTTTTAACGCATTAAAATTACAGTAGAATAGGTACTAAGTAATCATCAAAGTATAATACCGAATAGTGCTAGCTGCATTAGTTTCCGACATCGGTTTTAAATACTTCTCAAATATTGTCAAACACTTCATAAGCCAGAAAAATTGGAGACAAAAAATTTAAAAAATATTTCGTTCATTTAGAACATATTATTAAAAAATATTAAATTAGTCAGCCTACTATAAAGTAGGTTTTGAGTGTACCACATAATAATTGGGTACATCCTAATACTTGTGTTATTTTTGAATTCAAAGAGAAATCATTGCGTTCGCATTGCGAGACTGCAAAAGTGCCGACATGGACACAGAGATATTTTTGATTTATTTATATTCTTGTAAGTAGTTTATTTTTTACCTATTATATGGCGTAGGCTAAACTTATTTTTGCTAAAAAATAATGAATGTATTATTAAATGGATAATTATTATGATAATATATACCTAATACATGAAAGTATCATATTATAATAGTCTAACTTATGAGTCTACAGTTCTTCACCGACCTAGCGGCTCCATCGCATGCTGGTGTGAACAATATTAGGTAACAATAACTGTCCAAATATTTTTAAATTTTGAATTTGATAAGCTTAACTGTTTTTAAATTCCATTAAAAACTTATGAAAAAATTTACATTAAATATTAAAATGAAATTTTTTTGATTCATCATTGTAAATTTGGACAAATGTAACTTTTAAGTTCTAGTCGGGTGCCACCTCTTTCGCTAATAAGTGCCCTCCCAAAACCTGTAAATCTCGCTTTGTAACATATTTCTTATTGAAATACCCGTTATATATTAACTTAAATCAAAATTACGTATTGTACTAAATTATATTTTAGTAAAAAAAAAAGCTTTATCGCTTATAAAAATCAGTGACATTATGTTTTTGATATATTTGAACCACTATAAGAATAATTTACCCGAATCAGTGTATTAGACTAATTCAGAAACATATTATCAGTATAATAATTTTGCCTAAGTATTAAATAAAATAACAATTGCACACTGTGGTAAAAAACAATAGATTCGTCATCTTCTTATATTCTGAAGCTTGACCATCGGATATTTTGCAGGTGAATGTTTTCCGTTCAGAATCTATAATATTCAATTTAAATATTATATTGAAGGCTCACATTGTATTAACAAAAAAAAAAAATTTAATCCTAAAATTTATAATTTATTTAATCTAACATTTTTGTTAAAATTAAAATATTACATTTAAAAACTCATTAATAATTTTAAAGAAATATCATTGATAACACTTGTCAAAATATAATGTATTTGAATAAAGAATTAAAATATTAATCTGCTATCAACATGTATACTAATACACATTTGATGCAGGTAATTACAGGTAACATCGTATTAATAAAACTCATTATATTGTCATTTTTCGTAGATTATTTTCCACTCATGTATGTATAAGTTCCTACGTGTACATGTTTGTATTTAAATTGTGTTTTACTCGTGTTGATTTTAATAGACAGTGACGAAGGTGAAGCCGGACTAGGAAATGTTACAAGAGTAATCATGAGGCCGGTTGGTCATAGTGGCAAAGCAAAAAAAGGACATTTGTGTTTTGATGCTTCGTTTGAAACCGGTAAATAATTTAATAATTGATAATATTATTACATTTAAGCTAGATTATATAATGTTATTAAGCAATGCACAAGAAAATAGAAATAATGCTGGAATGCTTCTTTACCTGGACGTTAGTCTACGCCAAGTCCTAATTCAAGATCCAGTCAACCCGATACTGTCACGCAAAGCTGCGGCTTCTCTAAATATATTGCTAACTGAAATTGTACAATAATGATTATTTTTTTTTATTTTTTTATTGAATGAAGGCTTCAACTAATGAGGTCATTAGCCTGGTACTGTGTGGGGGAACCGTTGGTTGGAACACGTTTGTATGTGTGGCAAGGATGTGTTGCTAAGAACCCAGGTGGCCACCCATCCGAATGCTAGCAACGAGGGTTGGTACGTACACTCGGAGTGTTGCCGCAAATCGAGCGTACGGCCGCGCCTCGTCAAACCACAATGATTATTCTAGATGGATATAATATTATATCACTAATAAATTCAGACTTAGGTAAATAAAATATAATAATACAAATCCGTGACACTTGGAGTTAAATTTTTAAGCAATGATAATTGATTATTACATGCAAAACTATTCTGAATTGCAGAACTAAATTTAACCAAAAATCCCACATTTTATAATAAAGCGTAATTGCGTCTTTCGTTATCCGACTTATCTTTTAATTAAAAATCCGTATTTTATTTTATAAATATCCAATTAAAAATGTAATACAGCTTATTTACGCATAACTTCTTTTTTAAATTCTTCTACGGACATCTTATGAAGAATCTTGCATGTATTTGATGTTCAAACGTTAAGCAGGTATAAGAGATAAATATCTTATGAATTGTATGCATTTTTGCTACAAAATAATTTCCTGATGTTCTCGATTTCGATGAATGTCGTAAACATTTTAACTCAAAAGTTCAAACGCATAATATACAAACATTTGTGGCTACGGATTTTTCATATTCTGTAACTGCTGCAAGAATAACGTAAAGTGAAGATTGTAATAAATTTTCAAGCTTTTTGAACAATACTCAAGCATTTTATTGGCATAAAATAAAAATAAAAAAGTAAAAATGTAGGCAAGTTTCAAATGTCTATAAATAGTATAAAGGTTCCAAAATATCTTGAAAATACAAAAATAAATGTATTGTGAAAATTGTATGTCCCTAGACATCAATGTAAAAAAATATCGATTGTTCTGTTCAATATATATATTTTAAAAAAATGACAAGACAACAAATTTCCGAGGAGCAAAGTCTGGTACCAACGCATTTCGTAAATAACGTAAAAAGTGCTATCCGAGAGAAGTTATCGAGAAGTGTCCGAGAAACATTTCAATTACTAAAAAGTGAAACAACAATTGATGGCTTTAAAAATAAATGGTATTCGGGTCATGCTTTTTTTTAACTACCTACGGATATTTTTTTTCTAGAGCGGACCAGGTTGTACTTGAATGCTCTATATCAGAGGTTCTCAAACTTTTAAGTACTTATATTATCAATCGGATACATTTATTTTAAATAAAAATGCTGTAAAATACTGCAATATATTATTATTTATTTACTAATACAAATTATTAGAGTTCAAAAATTAAGATATGAATTAAATAACATCTAATTATCAATCTAATATTTATTTTTAATTTTCCGTTCTACTATCGGCATACGGCCTTCCGCGTACCACAGTTTGAGAACCGCTGCTCTACATAAAAATCGTTTCTTTAAAATTTTAAATTATACAAATATTTTGTAGGTATCGAAAATAGTACCTACGCCCTATATTCTATAGTTCAGAGATATTCAAACATTTTTCATCTCATAGTTCCTTTGTGTCCTCACAATACTTTGAAAGCTCCCAAATTATTGACGACTTTTTAATCAACGGCCACGGTCGACGGAAACAATACAGACGATAGTAATAAATACGTTAGTAGTACTATAGATATCATCATCGCTATAATGATAAAAAATAATATTTCTATTTTCATATTTTATATTAATTTTGGTTTACAATTCCTTGACATGGGAGCCTAGACTCTCGGTTTGAATATCTCTGTCCTGTATGATAAGTGGTCACATTCACTGTGCAGTGTGCATGAATCGTACGAACGATTTTAGAGAAAAAAACATAATAATAGAAAATTTAAATATTTGTACCCATCCATTGGTGGTTTGCATGCGGAAATTATTTGATTTACTTCGTCGCGTATAATCGTCGGCCGCTTCCGCAAAATCCCGGTCGTGATTTTTTAAAGATAAATTAATTAAGTGTTATAACTTATATAATTACTATGGAGTAGGTTTATATATACTTAAAAGAAAACCTTTTTAAATGCTTTTAAGATAAATATTTAAAAAGACATAAATATCCACTAAAATGGACACTTAAATTACAAAAATAACCTTGGAAGAATTTGTAATGCACATTTACAAGATAATAATATGTATATATATTATGCTGTTATACGAACTATGCGCCATAAACATACAAAATGCGCAACAAAAACGAATACTAAATTTGGAGGGAATGATGTTTGGTAATATTTATGTCTTCAATAATATTTTTTTGTACATTATCTATGCCAATACATCGAGATAAATGATTATACTATAGTAATTCATATTATAACGTCATATTATAAAATTGTTAACCTTATTTTATTTTAAGCCATCTAAATTATTGTATTCTAAAATTTTTTATTTTTCAATACCTACCTATTGATTATTATCAGAAATAAAATAGTAAATTTATTTTTATTTACTGCCGAGATGTGGGCTGATAAGGTGGTTGGCACACAAGATACATATTAAGTGTATTACTAAACAAGCTATACTACAGTCAGTTTGATGACTTGAAAATTTTGACTAGTAAGAGGGGGGGGGGTCATTTGAGTTATGACAGTGTCCTAAATTATAATTTTAAATAAATGGCAACCCTAGAATTCTGACTTCTAAATTTTAATATACAAAACATTCGTTAATAAAATGATTAAAAAACAAAAATTGTTGTAAAATATTATATTACACAACGCAATAAGCACTGTTATTCAGACACTATGCAAAAAAGCAATTAGGGATAATTGGACGTAAAAAATCCATAACATAAAAATAATAGTAAGAAAAGTAAAACTGTTATAAAATATCAAAATATGTATTTATATATATTGTGTTATTACATTAAAAAATTATAAAATTATAAAACAGTTTTAATCATAATGTTGTATTAATTTTGAAATTAGAATCTTTTTTAATATTAATTTAAATATTTTAATACTGATCTATTTTTGGCACATTATAATAAATTACTTTTTTTGATATTGTGTTTAAATTTTTAATATAAGTATACCTACTAATAATTTTATTAAGTATTGATTTATTTATTATTTTATGTTTTTTATAAAACATCCAAACAGCTAAGTCGAATTGTCCTTGATCGGTGAATCGGATGTTGTTAATGTTAAATGTGTTCCTCATTTGCAATGGCATGGCCAATGAGCACAAAATGTTTTTTTAGTGACGTGCTGTAAACCATTGTGCACCATGTAGTCTGTACCCATCGTTTAATGTGATCGTGTGAACTAATCGTAAATAAGAAATATAAATATTAAATCAATAAATAATTTGACATTAATAAATGAATTATAGAGTATCGTGTAGTGTATTCGTGAGTAATATATGTATAGAGCTAAATATATATCATATACCAGAAATACCGTAGTTATTTTGAAGTTACACAAAACCTACAAATATCTGTTAGGGGAAATATGAATAATATTATACTTATGAATACACAATCGATAAAGTGGTCTAAAGGCTAATTATATTCTTGCCAAATGTATAACGAGCTATTAAAAACTTAGAAGGCAGGTACCCCGTACAGGGTGATTATTTTAACAACAAACACAGCTCGTATAATTTCAAAAAGTATACCTAGGTACTTATGAGTTTCAATATTTTCTTGGTGCGAAAGAGCCATAAAATCAAAATAATAGATTAATATTCCTATGACATAGGTACTTAAAAAATGTTTACTTTAATTTACTTTCAGCTATCTAAATTACTGTATTCTAAATTGATTTAATTTTCGACACATACATTTATTATTATATTAAATTAAAAAATGTATTAAAAACAATTTTAACATACAGACTAATATGTATAGTTAGTTATTTTTTCGCGTTTCTTCAATCTTCCAAAGTTAGTAGATATAGTTTCAAAAAAAAAAATAATCGAAAATATTAATGAGTGATACCTGCTGTATTATAATTATGTTTTTTTTTTTATTGATCCTAAAACCTTCCATTTGTGGCCATAAGTTAATTGTAAGGTATTTTACAGTTATTTACAAATATACTTATGCGAATAATAATAAGTACTTCGTACATTACAGTGAAACAGTAGAGTGAATTATTTATAGGACTAATTCAATAATATTATAATATATTATCATATAAGATCATCTATCTATAACCTTTGCATGTAAACATATTGGGTATTAACTAATGTATACCCAATAAAAATATATACTGTTGTACCTATTATACGTCGATCGCTTCCGTACATTATATTAAATGAATAAGCACACACACACACACACACACACACACACACACACAGTTAATGAATAACACTTAATTATTATTTTTTCTACAGTGACAGCTGCATCGGGCGATCACTGCAGCATAAGAACCGCATTTTGTCCAATCCTATCTCTTAATCTTTATATATATATATATATATATTGTAGATTAACCTAGTTTCCATTTTCCTACATCTTGTTTTTAGTTAAAACAAGACTTAATGCTAAATTTCGTTACATATTACATCAATGTTTTCTTAACCAAGTAAATAGTTTTGATTCTAAAATAATTATTGCTACAGGTAACACCATATATGTACCCAGACTTCATGTACACATTAATAATGTTATACTCGATACAACAACACCTTTAATATAGGTGTCTTAACTGTATAATAGGTATCTTAATTTTCTAATTGTTATCTTAACTGTCTTAGCAAATGTTTACAATCAAATAAACGATTTATTATTATTAGCTTCTTATTGATGATAATTATCATAATTATAATAATAATCAATAACGCATGCCTTAACCATAATTTTAAAATAATATAAACTAAATAATTACTATAAACTGAAAAAACAGTTTTTTTCGTAGGTTTTCTTACTTTGATTGATGTATAGGATTCTTGGATTCTGGTAAACACAATAATTTATTCTTTTCTCACAGACATTTCCACCACTAAAAAAGTTTTTGGGATATACGTATAATATTATTTTACGATAACAAGAAACACTATAGGATTTGGGTGCAACTTTTTTGTGTTGAAATGTTGAATTATTCTCTTTGAATTAGTAATTACAATAAATACATGTCACAACTCAGGCCACGAAGTTAATAAATAAATTCAGGGATTAAGAAATACACACAATAGCAAATAGCAACAATGCCAGTCATCCTGCGTTTTTACCTTAGTCTTTGAATCTTTAACCGATAAAATAGTAGGTTGTTTTAAATTTAATAAATATTTTTTTTTCCAGTCTAATCGATAATGAAATTATTAGTTATTATTTTTTTCCTCGCCAACTTATCTTTAATCAGATACATATGTAAAAATAAATATGTTATGTATCTTTTTTAGATATGTTGTTTGTAGATTGTAATAAACATAATTCTCTCGTCATTAACGGATGGCATTGGCACAACTAATAGTCTTAATAAAAGTATACACTTAGGCGTAATACCCCAGTATTTGGGAAGCTAAGCTTAATCAAATATTTTCGTAGCCCTCTAAATATAAATTGGATATAAATCAGAAAATATGTTTTCTTCAAAGAGGCAAAATAGTCGATAAGTATATGCAGAAACTCCACTCAAATTTGGTTATTATCAATATTGAAAGAGATGTTGATATATAGAACGACAATGTATTTTAAATATAATATAATTTAAAGATAGAAAATGTAAGTCAAAGGTTAAAATACAATTTTAATTTGTTGATTAAATATGTCAGTTATTATATTTTATTATAGGCCACTTACAATTAATAAGCATATTTACACTAAAGGCCTACAGGGCACCTAGTTAAGAGAATGTTTCACTCGAATGTGTTATCTCCGTCTTACTAATGCATAAAATGGAAAAATTTAAAATTTAAAATTCTCATAACTTGCTTCAAAATTAAAATATCAAAAAAAACTAACGATATGCCCAAGAGAATATTCTTATCTTAAAATTTGATTATAAGTCAATTAATGCTCATATTAAATATTATGACAGAATACATTTTATAAAAATGATTTTTCTTAACATAACATTTGCCATGTTGTGCTCTAGTAAGACAAATACAATACATGTTGGTGAACTATTCCCTATACATATTAGGTCACTATTATAATATTAATGAACCTCGCCTGGTTTTTTCTGCATAAAGTTGGTATCGAAGAAATATAATAATATTAGTTTTTTTTTTTGCTTTTTCAAAAGGACTTATAGAAAAACCATACAATTTTTTGTAAAATTTAAAAAAAGTTTAGAAAAGACGTTTAATATAACATGTGTGGGCGGTGTATATGTAATGATAATATTACCAAGAGCACAACCTATTATTAACACATTACTTTTTAAATAATAAATAATAATTTAAGTACCCACTCATGGTTTTTTTTAACACAATAAATTATAAGAAAATATAAAATACAATACAAAATGTGTGCCTAAGAATAATAAATATATTATAAAGCGTACCTTAAAACTTTAATTTAAAAAAGTAATCTTGCCACAAAGTTGCAAATAACTTAGATACTACATTACAAGTTACAATATAGTTACATGAAAGGGCGCGGCCAGTTTCCAGACCAAAATCAAGCTTTTCCGTTTTACCCAGATACCCGGTACGACCAAAGCTATTTTAGTCGTAATTAATCATTAATTTTTATTAAATTTGTTGGAAAGTCAGTATTATCCACTTAAAGTTTTTAAAAATGCATATTAAATTATAGGTACATCATTACAAACTATTATTGTCTACAAAAAACTATAAAAAAATCATTACACAACATTTTAAATCATATTTGATTTGTATTTGATGATATAAATTATATTGTACAATGGTTTTTTTGTAATAATTTTTAGTAGACAATAATAATTTGTAATTTGTAATAAAACTGTAATACCTAATGTACAATTTAATATGGATAAAGGTATAAAACGATGATTTTACTAAAACTGTAATTAAAAAAACGATATAATATAATATTATTTAAAAACCATTGCCAACTATTAATTTAAAAACAACTAAAATGGCTTTAGTCGAAACGCGTCCCGTCCACATGCAATTCTGCAACAGTAACTATAGTGGTTTGAGTTATGCACTAAAGCGTGGTTGTATATATTTGACATATTATTGTCTTATTAAAAGCCCTATATTTTGAGTAGATCACCGATGATTTGTCGGTACCTCACTGGCCCAACCCAGACTTGGTGGTACTAGCCTGTGCCTGCCTCATCCGTCTTAATATTTAATTTATTTATTATAATATTGTATTATGTGTATCTACGTATGTCGCAGGAAATTTGGGGAGAATCGATTTGGTGTGTGAATACGAATACGATCTGTTCATACGGCCGGACACCTGCAACCCGAGGCATAGACTGTGGTTTAATTTCGTCGTGGAAAACACGAGGCAAGATCAAGTGCGTAACCCACATAAGCAGCTTAGCTTCTCCCAAATATATAATTATAATATATTGGACAATAAATCACGGATATATTTTCTTCAGCCCCCATGAGACTACAAATTGGCTAAGGACAAGTATGCTGTAATAGACTGTTTCTCAAATTTGGTTATTCTCAATATTTACAGATATTTTGCTAATTTATTTAAAAAATATGAAATATTGGAAATATATAATTTAAAAGACTAAAAATCTTATCAAACTAAAATTAAATTTATTGATTGATATAATTTTCATTTTATAAGCATGTAAATAGTATGTATATTTGTTATAAGCCACTTAAAAATAAATTAAATTGGTAGAGGGGTGTAGCGGAAAATTTGCCACATATTATAATACAGAAAAAATATGAGGGCAAATAACAGCCCCTCCCCTGAACAAATAATTGGTTCCAGTTGCATTTATGGCTACATTCCGTTGGAACTTAATTCATTTAACGTTCGTGTACACTTTCAGAACGTTATATTCAACATCGTCAACATCAGCAATAAAAACAACCTTTTCAAAAACGGGATGACTCCCATAGTGAGGAGTACTAGCCGAAACACGTGGTATGTACCAACATGTACGACTAGAGTCCGTACTAGGAGGGTGAGCACGTTTTATCGTCGATCGACTATTGACAGAGTGATTCACCAAGCTCACCCTCGTTTTTCCTTCAATACTAAGTTTATTTAAATTATTCTGATTTTTGTAATAACTGTATAATGTATAGCTGTATAAGTATACTTGAGGACGATATTTTGAAATACTTTCTTGGGGTTTTATAGTATATTGTTAAAGGTTGTCTTGCAGTGATACACATTTATTTTTTTTCAATAATGAAATACACTCTTTTGTGGTGAATCATTAAGGATATAACTTTGTTTGAAATTTGTATGAGCCAATTTAAATTATAAATGTAAATGTCAACTAGTGTTTTCCGAGTTATTGAACTTTAAGTAGCAGGGATTTAAGTGCGAAGTAATGCTATTATATAGATCATGGTGACCTGATAATTATTATACTATTATTTTAATAGGAACCTAAATATTTATTTAAACCAATACTTTTTTCCTTTTTTGAGTATAATCAGTACTAAGCTAACTATTACATCTTATTATGTTTAGTATTTTATTTAAAAAATAATCATGTTTTGCCTCAAAATAGTCCTTAAATAAAATAAAAATCTTAGTATGTATTTAAGAATATGGTGCTTAACTTAGTTTAAGAGTGGAAATTTATTTTTGAATGAAATAAAAGGGGTAAGAATGTCCTGTGGATGACCTGGTGAATCGATCGCGAGAGTATTATTTAATAATAATATTATAATCAAAAATACGGCAAACGGCCCCAAAATCGTAACACAGTCGCGATCAAATGGACCGAGGACGAATGGACGATGCGCCGCCGCCCTCGCGTATTGCGTTTAGTGCAGTAGTGCATAAAACGTCGATACGTATCATTATTTTCACTGTTGTTGTCGTTGTGCATTCTGTTGAATACGCTAAAATATTACAATATTCATAAAACGTCCCATGTACAGGTCTTTGGATCATTTGTATTTTATTATTGGCCTATGAATAATATGCATCAGTTGATCGCAGAGGCGTTTGCAGACCTGCATTTCAGGTGCACCAATTCTATTACAGTATTTTTGAGGACAGACTTTTATTTAGACGTACTCCCAAAAATCCAAGTAAATTATTATAACCGTTTAAGTGTTGGTAGTTTCATTGCTTTTTAATTTTTATACAGGTAATATATTGCATATGTTATAATAATCATAATTACAATTAATCACATATTTTAGATAAAATTACATTTTATTTAGTGACAACTGGTAAAATATTATGGGCCCCCTGGCTTAGAGGCCTAGTATTTCAAAATTTCAGGAGGTTTTGGGTACACCGGTAACCCCTTTCCCTGAGTGCGCCAATCGATCGAGTTAGTCACCTATAGGCGAGAGACTATTATACGAATACCAATACCAACATTTACTTATACACTCAATTGGTCCGGTGGTCCTCTATGTTTTTTAAATAACAAATCAGTATAGAACGATGAACAGTAATCGTGCATCAGTTACAGATCCAGAGCGACATACATCACATTCAATCACGCAGTACAATATTTATCTTGCATACTTTAAAAAAATATTATATGAGTACCATAATCCGTCACTTTCGCTTATTGTAAAGTTACCACTTAAAGGTTGTGATGGTTGTGTACCTACATTTAAAATATATTAAATATGTATTACTCTATTTTTATATACAAATTATTTATTAAAAAATCCTAAGCATGAACATGGGTTTTATTATTTTGTCTTGAATTTGTTAATGGTTTTTTTTTTTTTACTTACCTATACGATTGTTGAATTGTTCGATTAAAAATTTGTTTAAATAAATATGAAATAATGAATGTGTATTGTGAGCTCTAGGAAAGGGGGTCATTAACCCCTTGGCCCCATCATTTCACCCATACCATATACTTGTTAAATAATATATCGTATTATATATAGTTAGTCCGAGACTGTCTAGAGGTAACGATAAATTGTGCTAAGGAATGACTATCGATTTGGATCAAGTTATTTTCGCAAGGAAGGTATTATTGTGATTTGTACGTTTTGGAAAGATTCCAATTCGGTATCGCCGAAGTTATTTCTATAGCATGAAACTTTTGTTTATCTATGAAACATTGTTTTAACTATCATTTTTAATTTAGGTGTTTAATGAATGTAATTAAAAAATTACATGAATACGAGAAAATCAGAATATTGACAATATTACTCTAGTTCATTACTTTTATATCAGATTTCGCATTATTACAATTTATAAAGAACTATTTTTTTTTGCCCAAAGCTGTTACATTTTTTTACTGATTTCAAATTATTTTTAATTTTACCTAAAAAGTATACAAAATATAATATTTTTTATGTAAAATAAGTATTCCTAAATAGTTGTAGGTATAGATACTAACCTATTTGACCTAAATACCTACAAAATGATAAATTAAGTAACAGTAGAACATTTCACTCTTCTACATTCAATATTTTTTAAACAATAATAAAACAACAAAAATCAGTTGAAGTTAAATCGTTAATTTAGGTTTGAATATCCAGTGCCATTAAAATGTGTACTTTAATCGCTTATAAAAAAATATTGTCAACTTACATCGATTTTTTTTTATTTCCAGTAAATAAACGTATGAGCAAATCTTGGATCAAACTTTAAATGATAAATGATAAAATGAAAAAATGTACATAATTACACACTATAAAATAATTTTCAAATTGTTGTGATTTTGAACAATTTTGTAAAAAAATAAATACCGAATGCTTATAAAAAAAAATGTGACAACTTACACATTTTTTATTTATGAAAGAAACTTACTGGTATCACTGTATCAAACCTGATATTCAATTTTCAAGGTTTTTTATGCGAAAATAAAAATGTTGTTAGACATAAAAAAACTAAAAAAAAGTCAAAAATTTAAAATATTTACGAATAGCAGAAAATAGATAAAATATTAAAAGAATTATAACATATCCAATACATTTTAATACACATTTTTGTTTAACAATTCCAGTCTATATGGTTATTCATTTTTGAACCACAGTAAAAAAAAAAAACAAAATTGATTTTGTCAAAAACTGTTTTCGTAAAAATTTCGGTTTTTTCTAATCTGTACCAACTGCGTATACCTAATTTGCAAATTTGAAATTTTTCAAAAATGTCTGTCGCAATGTACCTACCCATATATCACAGTACCCTATATTCCCCCTTCAAGAAGAGACAAATTTCCAAATTAAAATCAAATGTTCATAATATTATACAGAGTGATTCAGCAAGCATGCTCACCCTCATTATTCCTCTAATGATTAAAGCATTCAAACTTAGATTTTTGGAACTTTTAACTATAATATCTCCACAGGCCCCACTCCTTGTAGTAACTATTAGAATTTTAAGAATTTTAAATATAGTCTTTGAGTAAATATATAGGTGTTAAAAAATTTCAAAAATCAGATTTTGAATCACTGCATTATTGACGAAAAAGAGAATTCGAGTGTTTGGTGAATCACTCTGTACAGTGGTCTCGTAAAAATATTTAGTGTCACTCATACTCTAACCTGTAACTATATTTTTGGAAAGCTGTGTAATATTATAATACACGTGCATGGTTTTGCAATATAATTTACTTGTCTTGGATTGTAATTTTAGTTTCTAATTTAATTTATTTCCACCCTACGAGACACGATTAAATCAACAATTGTTGTATACACGTTATAATAATAATAATAATAATAATAATAATAATAAACGGAATAAACGTCGTGTGCGACGAGCATGGCTGGTTGCGAAGGGCTGGCAGGGGGTTCGACTACATCTAAAATCCCGTCCGTATATAATATTATTATGATAATACCCTCAGTTTTTATTAGTTCAAAGTTTTAGTCGAAAATTTATGGACATATTTATCCACGCAGGTACAATATTATTATATATCTACCTAATATATACAGGAATACTATGACTCGTATACAATGCATTATTACATTATGTTTTGCGTACGATTTATACGGCAATTTTCCGCGTAGGGGTTTTACGTGTATATATTCCAATTAGAATTTCCACGTCCGTTTGTTCGATACTACGTCGCATTATTATATAAAATATAATATCATAACACTGTGTTTATCGCTTAACAGCCGTCGCAAAGCTTGCAGGTGGGATTACGGCGGCACGTCGGTAAGTTCTAATAATTTTTTTTAGTGACGAGCTGCAGTTTAAACCTCACGGCCGAATAATAATAATAATAACATATAATATCATATGATTATATTATTATTATCGTCGTCGTCATCGCATACCTCTGCGTGCTTTGGGCTTAACTGGCATTGGCGTCACTGTTGCGTTACACGTGGATGTTTGAGTTTAACGAGCGAGTGAGTCCTGTGTTAGTCGTGTAAGTGTTATGTGGGTGGGGGCGGGGGCTGAAAGAGTGATACTGTTGGACGGGGGAGGGGCGGAAGCTTCGTCCACCATGCTTCAATTATTCGCATCCCTGTGAATTGTTAATTAACAAACCATATTATTATTATACATAGGTATGTGTGCACACTGCACATATTATACTATTATACAGTTTAATTATAAACTGCACTGATAATACGGCTTCCAATTTAATATAATCGTAATTAAACTACTTACGTATACAGTTACACGAGTTGATATACGGTGTGCTGAATTATATGGTGCATTTTCTATAGGTAGATAATATTTTATAGCTGAGTATCAATGTATTATTAGGCGCATACTAATTGCCCACCGTTGTCAAGAGGTCTATGACTTTTCTACGACCTATTTTCTGACTTATGTACGATAAGGCATCCGAGCTAGCTAAATGACAAAAAAATATTAAATGTCCTAACGGAAAATGTAATAAAGACAAAACTAATTATATACATTATTATTGAAAAAAAATGACAATAAAGGAAAAAACTATCCATGGACAATATATCATAGATATATAATTGCACTATAATCTAGTGGGTAGATAATAGTGAAATTTATTTTTCATAGTATCTAAAATTGTCTTAATTGTATCATGTTGTTATCATGCTCTTATATAGTGACATTGACTATTTTAATGTCATAAAAACAATACAAAATGATTAAACTATATACGGTGAACATTGATTCTAACAAAATATCGATTGAATACCACACACACATTGGTTTAGGTTTTGATTTTTTGATTCCAATAAACTGCTGGTTCTATAATTCATTGATCACATAAGTCAGCCCTGTCAAACCTTTTATAGCCGCTGGACCAATTTACACGTTTATATAGACACAGGAGGTTACTAATAACTAATAGAAGAAAAAATATTTTTTATTTTATTTTTGTTGATTAAGGTACTAAAATATTATATTTGAAATTCGGAATTTTAATTATTAATATTCTGATGATTAGCATTGTTTTTCAAAAGCCATTTTTTTAATATACACTGAAGACCATGTGGTAGTTAATCTGACGCACGATATTATTATTATTATTAGTCAGGGATAATATGACCGACTGCCATCTCCCCCCCTCCTCCTCGTGCTCCCTTAGGATGAACCGCCCTGACATAAGTAATCGTAACTCATTATATTTATAAGCTGGCTGCAGACAACTATCTTTCATCGTGCACATAATATAGTTATGGTCTTACTATGGCTGAATAATTTAGTACTGTATCTTTTAGTAATATTATTATTTATCGTAAAACATATTATTAAAATATATTTTCCAGTTAACTGTAGTCACAGAAAAATTTATAGGTAGATATAATTTTACCCCTCCCCCTACAGACACTGACGCACAAGCACTATAAAAACAATAGTGGCATCTCATATATATATATATATATATATATATGATATGATCAACTGTTTCACAAACGTAATAAGAATTAAATAAATAATTTCCTAACCATCCCTTTTAAATAATACACGTCTGCACCCAAATCATACCTGGAATATATAATGTTATTCATTTAATAATTAGTTTACGCTGTTCAAAACTTCTTACCACTTGGTATGACCACGTGCAGTACTAACGAATATATAGATATAATTGTACATATATGGGTATGGACTAGTTGCAGAATATATTATTTGAGCTTTCAACGTTTGTCCAAATTACGAATAATTTGTCTCAAGATTATTATTGCTTATTTCAGGTCTCGCATACCGGTATACAGGGTGCACTACCACCGATCGTTGTACCATGACAACAACTACGTTCTCAGCATATTATTTTCATTCGACAAGGAGGACGATAGCTATCAATTTTCGTACTCCTATCCGTATTCGTACACTCGGCAACAAAACTATTTGTCACTGATTGAAAAAAAGAAGCTGCCTTACTTCAAACGTGAACTACTAGGACAATCGATCGTAATACATTTTTAAAGTTTGATTTAAATTTTAAATAACACAAAGATACGTGTTTGTGTGTATGAGTGTGTGCGTGTGTGTGTGTGTGGATTCGTGCTATACATATTTTTAGAAACAACTGTTATGACTTAAAATCATTATTCTCCGTTTAATATTACGTCTAGCAATGGAATATTTTAATGAACACTGGGATTTAATCAAAATGTGGAAAATGAACTGACAATTATATTGAAACTTGATATAGGTATTGTTAATATTGGTACTTAGTTTATTAACTAAAAGCAATATTATTATGTTGTGTAATAGTTATTCCATATCGATAATGTCATTATTTTTGTCGCTGTGGTTGTATAATGTGTATAGTGTCTTAAATGCATGGTTTTATATGTAATTAGATTACCCTGTCTAAAAGGCAAGTTCAACCATTGTATTCCACCTCTTACACACAGCTACAAATTTCAAATTAAATTTCAATGAAAAGTCAAACATTTTTTTTAGTACTTTGAAAACATATTTATATAAAATTTTTAATATTCCTACACAAAAAAATATGACAAAGTTGAAACTATTTTACATTTCCTAATAGAACTATTCTAAATAATCCTTTTTAATTTGTTTATCTTTTTTAATTGTTGTAGTTCATAGTTCATAGTTGCAAGGAAACTCGTATATATGCCAATCAGTGTTGATATTCTAGTTATATGTAATATGTAAAACCGTAGAACATAACATTTAAAAAAAACATTTTTATGGTCACTTTCTTTCTGACGCATCTGTTATTATTGTTATTAAATCACACCCGTGAACAAGACATTTTTTATATATATATTTATTTATTCTTCCATTGGCTACCATTAACCACACCAGTACATATAGTTATTTACGATCAATGACCATACTTTACAATTTAAAACACAATGTCGATAAAAGCAAAGACATTGTCCACGTAAAACAAATAGTAATTTGTATTTAGAATACGTGGTTTAGAGACACTATAAATAATTATAATTTTAAATGCATTTTTCAAATTTCAAACTTGGCACGGTTTTAGCGAAATTATCACACTGTGGCACGCTTGTATTATAATATTCTGCAGTGCGCTATGTGTAAAACAGTATGAATAGTTTGATGATGGCGCGGATTACAGTTATTGAACAGTAAAATAATACGTTTCCCGAATAAAATGAAAAATATTCATACTACGGAACTCAATGCAAAATTACGATACAAATAATCTATATGCATAGCCATTTCGTCGGTGTTCAGACGGAAAATTGCATCCTCAACCGTAAAAAAATAATGCCACACAACACGTCAATACGAGCGTAAAAATGTTCAATCGACCACGTATTAGGTATATGGTATATATTATTATAGTGACTTTTGTATTCAATTGTCTGTACATTAGCCTTAAATAATGGTGTCGACGTTATGTGTATTCCGTATTGGCGTAATCTGGGGCATGACAAAGATGAAACAAGGGCACGGTTATAGTGGTGGAAAAGTTATAGTTTTTCCCCCTACCCCCTTGTCTTAAAATGTAATTTATTGAATATATTACAACATATTATTCATTTTAATCTCTAATCTGTATGCTTGAATTCTATTTATGTGTGTGCGTTTTATGTAATAAATTATACAATATATATAATATAATAAATATAATATATTTTATTTTACGATTAAAATATTTATTTTGTAAAAGCACTTGAAGTTTTCCTCATTTTATGGATATAGTATGAACCTTAATATTTTAATTAATTTAACAAAAGTTAATGGACTTCTATATATATTATGTTAACATGTAGAGATTTGTCATTGTAAATGTATTGCATGAATTTATTTGAGTAGATAAAAGGTGTCACCTTTTTCACCATTATATTTTTAGGTACAATAGATAATAAATTATTATTGTACTTCCCCCACACCAATAAAAAAAAAAATTTGCCCCAAGTTATACCACATAATCATTGTGTTACATCTCATTTAATTTACACATTTATGAACTATAGATCATTTTGGCGATTTTGTCGAATTTTTATGTATTTAGATGTTTAACTACCTAAAAAAGCCTTTGATTTTCGAAACAAGCATTTCAAATATTAGTCTATTATTATTTTCCAAGCAGCTCACCAAGTACGACGAATAGAATAAAAAGTGATTTGCTTACCTATTATGTAATTGCGCACATGGTAATTATTTCGTCACTTAAATATTAAAAATAAACTCCCATAGAAGATCTTTATATATTATATAATTTAAAACAAACAAAAAAATACTAATTCGGAGTTATACACCCTAGCCTTCCGAAACGTAAATCCTGCATTAAAAGTGCCTACTTATAGAAAATTTTAGTTAGCTCCAGTACGTTTTGGATATCAAAATTGAATACTATTGAAATGTGTTTATTTTTTAGATATTATTAATCATAATAATAACTACTAGATACCGGAAAACTGACACGTGGGTGGTTCTGTACCATATTTGCCTATCCACAACGCCGTGTTACCATTATTTATTTTATTAGGTATTAAAAGGCAATCGAAACATGTATTATGAGATAATGGAAAAATAACTTTATCAATGACTGCAGAATAACGAGAACAAATAATGAGAAATAATCACCTTGTCAAAAGCGTGCATAGTGTGCACCAAGGTCAGCATGGACCGTGCTGAGTCGATCCTACCAAGTGAAGACCTGGAAGAGGCTATTCGTGTAGTACAACACAAATATTTTCTACATATTATGTTCGTGACTTAACACTATCACATCATATTTTATTTTATTCAATCAATTTTATCAAACTAAAACTATGGGTATATTATTCAATAATTGATTCAAAGTTTCTCATTATTATTATTAAGTCTTTACTTGTGTTTTTGTGGCCTCAGGGGGAAGCCCTGATGAAATTAGGTACGGTTTTATGAAACAAGTTAGTCCAGCCAACATATTCCATATAGAATTATTTTTGTCAGCAATTGGTTGTGTCGTCACTCTGACTGTCAACGTTATAGTCTTTAAGATGATATTCCGTAAAATTTTACAAAACGTATGTGTGGTATATGTTAAGGTCAAACGAATAATGTGACTTTGGCTCCGAATAGAGTTGAATCCTGTGATCCATTAAAACCTTATGATTATCAATAATATATTTCTGATGCCAAGTGAAAGTAAAATAATGCGGGTACCTATTGAATAAATTTCAACAAAATCGAATTCTAATTACAAAATTATAAAATAAAATTCAACCATAATATACGCATTATATATGAATATAATATTACATATTTAAATGCACTGACCAAAAATATAAAGTTACATTTCAAACTTTACTTTTTTTTCTTTCGTAATATTAATAATATAATATAATACTATATAGTTTCCAATGATTTCTATTTTCTTTTTCTTTTTTGTACTCCAGCAAAACAAAAGATTGGACTTGGTTACTATAACTAATCCAAAGAATATGAATCCAACTGAAAAAGTACACGTAGTTGTGATATTAGGAAGAGTTCACGGATCCGAAACGCCTAGTTCCTATGTCTGTCAAGGTAAAACATTTACAAAAGAAGCAACTACCAGAAATATTTGAACCCTATTTTTTATGTGACAGGGATTATTGAATTTTTGATTAGCAACCATCCAGTCGTAGTACGTCTTCGAAAAAAAGTCGTCTTTCAACTAATACCGATGATGAACCCCGATGGAGTCACTTTAGGAAATTCTAGGTAAGTAATTATTTCTTGAAAACTATACTACAATTCGTTGTTCTAAATAAGAATAGTAATGAATATTTCGATTTAATTCACCATTGGATCAGTGGATACTTTATTGATGACGATCAATAATTCACATTTTTTTCACTGTTTAATGATAAATTAAACACAACAAACATAAACCATTATAAAGTCAGAGACAATATGACACGATGACATGTAGTCAGAAGGATAACATCTAAATATTAAAATATATTATACATAGTTGTAAAAGACTTTTTTGAAAAATATTTCATTCTTATGAGATGAAGATAGCAGAGAAGAACACTCTAACTTGAATTTTGTTGTGACAGGACCAATTTGCTGGGCATTGACTTGAACAGAGCTTGGCACAAGATATCGCAATGGGTCCATCCGATATTGTACGCTGTTCACAATCACTTGATAGAAATCGAAAAGCACGAGGTAAGCTACTTATTTACGCACAGTGGTTAAGCAAACTGATATGTTTTAAACTTGGCCTTGTGCGCATCTATGGTATTTTCAATCTGTTTGCTTGTTGGTATTGTCCACCGCAAAACGCAGACTGGCTCTCATCATAGTTAAACATAGTAGCAATAAAACATGCTTGCGACGAATGTACGATATTATGTGGCGCCTAAAGAATAAACTTACATTTTGAATACAGACCAATTTATACATCAAAAGTTCAAACCATAAAATTATTTAAAATGTTGACTGATAATACAATAATAATCAATAAACGTTTAAATCGTTAGAGTTAAATGTTTTCCCGAATGGCAGAAATCAAATATTTAAGTTTTATATAATTGAAGTACTTATTTATTTATTTTTCAAGAAAATAACACAATGGACTCCGATGAATAAATTCGTATAGGGTCCCATGAGCTTACAATTTGCAATGAAAATATACTTAATACGAAACATGAACTATTTAAAAAAAGTTTTTTCAAATACAACAATTAAAATATTTACACATATATTGTATAATGTATATTATAGGTTACAACAACATTTTTTTTTTATATATAAATATACAACTTTAGGACCGAAGATGGGATGTCTCTTAAGCTCAAGAAAATTTCAGTTCAAAATATTCCTAATATTACCAATAAAATGTGCAAAATGTATTCTTTTTTTTGTGATTCAAAAAAAAAGTTTATATAGTCTGAAAAAGGTTTTTCAATAGGTACATTGTAAATAGGAATTTGTAATTGTATGTCTTGAATTGGTAACAACATTATACATTTCGATTTTTACTAAAGATATCCGTTTTAATAATATATTTGAATTGTTCATCTTGAATTGTTTATTGTATTTCAACTCAGGTATGAACTAATAAAATTAAAATAATATTTCTTAGAATCGTTTATATTATAGTCCTTCGAATGGCATTTTTTGTGTTCAATTGATGTTCCACGTAGTAAAATTCCATAAAAAGAATAAAATTGTATTTAAATTCAGTCAACGATGTATGAAACGGATTTGTTGCAAAACTTATATAGTTTTGAAGTGCATTGCGAAATGTATATTATATTATTATAAACAAATTGAAAAAATTACCCTCGGTTAGGATTTCTTGCAAACTGTTAAATACGTTCTCAGTATACTCGTATGGGCAGTTTATGTCATTATCATCATACCTACGTGTATATTAATTAGTAATATTAATAAACGCTCAATGTTGTGGTGAACCATTGTCCATATTTAAATGTAATTATGAATATTATATTTTATATATTTTTATTTTTCAGAACATGGAACTCGATCTAGTAATCGACATGCACGCTCATTCGTCTCTTCACGGTGTGTTTACTTACGGGAACGCATACGACGATGTGTACAGGTTAGATGGGGTCTTCTCCAAATTAAATTACACGCCCCGCAGGCCATAAGCTGTTTTAAAAACTTTTGCCATGACTGTATATAAACTTTGGCGACCGTGGGTAAACCCGTATAGTTGAAGTTTTAAATTTATACAGGGTGCATTTTTAATGAATCTCCGAGACAACAAAGTTCGTCGACCGTTCTTTGCGCTAAAAGGCAAAACCTTATACCTGTATACCGAGCGAATTTCGTTTCATATAACATGATCCCGACCTCGTGAAACTGTATAAGTCGATGGTATGTATTGTTATACTTAAGCCTTAATGCGATAATTCCACCTGAAAATCTCGTTGAATCCAAAAACCGCACACTTTAGATAAAATACAGGACTGAACAGCACATTTTTAGTTGGCTAAAAATGCACACTTCTAATAAGTTGTCGTGTCCAAAAACTGAACATCGTATAATTACTTAAATATTTAAAATGTAAAAATTTTGAAATGCAAATTATATTATTTATCATTTTACTATATATTTATTTAAATAAAAAATATACAAATTAAATTTCCGTCAGCTAAGTACTCACGACAATAATTACATTATAATTCTATATTATTATCATGTTACAATAACCATTTGACCTTATTAATTTGTTTGTAATCATGAGTAATTTTTTTAATCTCCGTTATTAGGAATATCTCAGATTGCTTCTACTAATCTGTTTGATAAACTTGGTAAAAGTTGAAAACTTTTGGAATAAATCTGCTCTGTAGATTAAAAATAGTGTGCTGCACTTGCTATACAATATAATTCTGTATAAAGTGTGTGGGTCTTATCTATCGACCTTTTTGGAAAATAATAATATTAAGTGGCCGGTTATTTGAATCCAACCGGAAGTCTTCACCAGACTGGTCCAGTGGAGGGAGTATTTACAATTGTATCTACGCTTTTTACCTTTTTGGGTACGTATACAATTGGAAATGGTGCCGAAATAACAGAAAACATGATTTTGATCTTTGAAAGAAGTATATATATTATTTACGTCTAAATGCGAAATTGAAAGCAACGTTGAAAAATGTATTTTTATAAATATATGTTAAACAGTAAATGGTAAATAACTTGTAACATTTTCAATTATTTACAGCATTTATAATTATATTATTTTGTCTTTTTTATTATTTTAATCTAATCAAGATATCACAAGAATATTACATAATATAAAAAAGTTAAATTACATTTTAAAGCCCGGTAACTAAAAAATGTATTATTAATTAAAAAAAAATATCATTATACTTAATTGTTACATATAAAGTATATAATAGGTTAAATTCTTCTTAAGTCGAAGTCATAAAAACAATTATTATTGTTGAAATCGTTACACACAGCCACATAGATAAATTAAAAGTAAATAATTTGAAAAAGTTTAACTCCATTGTAAAGCCCGATAAGGAAATCTAGGACGTCCCCCCTGGACAAAAAATTAAAAGTAAAAACATCAAACAATAATAATAAACAATTCAAATCAAGGAATTTACAAATGATTAAATTAATAATATAACAAAATAAATAAATATTAATATATTAAAATAACTAAATAATTAATAATACGTTATAAGAACACTATTGGCAATACAAAAATTCACAAATATCAATATACAAATTACAAATAAAAATAAATAAAAATTGGTATTGTTTACGAGATTCTTCATTAAATGATTATACGAGTTGTTAAATTAATGTATAAATAAAATTGAATAAAACTTTTACAACATTTTGAATTATCAACCATAACCCATAAAATGATTTAATAAAATCCATAAAGCGAATGACAATAGCCGATAGATGATCATATTTTTTGGGTAAAACCAAAGATCTTATTTTCCAATCTATTATTATGCGTGTAAACAGTATATATTGATTTAGGGGGGAAATGTCTTAATCCGAGTGGGAAACCTCCAGTGCGCTAAGATCGTTGGGAAGAAAAGGCCCGGGGTTGCGACCGTCCAAATACCCCGATACGGTGATACCTATATTTCCAATTATGGCTAAATACTTGAGCAGTTGAGTACATTTTCAAGTATGATCTGAGATATAAGCAATTACTTCTTAGTAATAGAATATGTGTTTGGTATCGGCAAGAATTACAAATAATAATTAATAATCTACTATTATATAGTGACGTACCACGTAAGGGTCGCAAAAGACGGGCCCCACTGATATCCAAGCTGATTTCATGTCCGTGATTCGTAAAAATAAAAACTACAAATTTATCCTAACTATAACCGTGTTTAACATAAATTGTTACTCTAAATTAATAATTACATTATAAGAGGAGTTTAAAATGTATAACCATTCATGTATAATATAGAATATAGATAATAATATTATGTCCCTATAGTGAAAATGAAAGCTTTCATCATATATACCCTTAAAGTATTTGAGTAAAATCATACTCTTAAACAGTAGAAATATTTTTCAGATTCTGAATGGATCTATATAGTTTTAAATTATGTGTGTGTGTGTGTGTGTTTGACGTAATAATTTTTAAACTCATAAAAATCGCTACATTTTGCTTCATAATTCCATTTTAGCTTTTTTAAAAGGATTTGCAATGAATTTATGTTACTAGCACCTCTAAAAGCTCTATACTAAGAGTTTTTTATGTCTATTTTAATTTTTGCTATTGTTGTTTTGGACCTTCATACCACAAACGATATGCACCAACTTGGATTCAACGAAAGTTTTTTAGTTTTTCCTATTTATTGAAAATTGAATATTTACCTCATGATTATGAACCAGTACCAAATAGGTTAAGTTTACAGTCCTTAACAGACAAGTGAGTTATCTTGAACAATTTCTTTCTACGATATCGGTGGGTCGATTGCTGGTCCAGACTTTGTACGACAAACTTGAAACTATTCTCGTAACTGGCCGGTATTTAAGATGGCGGATTGCCAACGAAGATCCATCTTTTAATTTTTAATTAATTTTAATGTGTTATTTTGTTTTCTTATTGTCTTATCTGTGTTAATTTAAAAACTTTTTTGAATTGTACATCTAATTGTGTTAAATTATAAATTGTTATCAGTATTAATTGGGGTCGCAGCCGTATTGAAATAAAAATAAATTAAATTAGCTATTAACATATTTTATTAAAAGTAGGTATGGTCTGCACAATATTTCTGATTGTTTGATGCATAATTGGAATAAATAAGTTAAGTGGTTCGTTAGTTAATAAACTTTCACCACTTTGTAAAAAACAACAAAATGTACACGATTTACATGAGAAAACTCTGCTACCATAAAACTGTGCAGCAACTTTTTATTTTACTTATCTCAAGCCATGACCGCGGAGGGGCTTGATTATAAATATATAATAAATTATTCTTAAAAATATAGGCTGACATGCGGGCTCCAATCCGAATAATTTTTCGTATGCTATGATTTATCATTTAATTCAAATTTAACACATTCATTACAGTGACTTACTCAATTATGAGGTAGACTTGGCAATTACTGTACAGCAGAGCGACTTCCCCGGTGGTTCTTTAACACATATATTATTATCAAGTGACAAGTATTTAAAATGTGCTAAATACTTATTGTTGAATAATTAATTTAATAAATTATAATAATTATAAAAGTTATTTTATACCTATTTGTTAGGTCATTAATTAACATTAATTTTATTCCCGGGAACAGTCTTAACCATTTTTTAGCCAAAAAGAGCCCGCAATTACTAAAAAACTTTTCCAATCTCGATCTCTAAAAAAATTACTGGTGAGGTTTCGGGTCCGCATTTATCCATAAGTTCCAGTTATAAGTACGGATCTAACAGTTTGGTTTCATTCCCTGAAGTCCACATATAATAGCCTATAACTTCGGAGGCTGCGAACAGGTAGGACAATTTCTTCGAACCGTAATGTTTAGGTTGAAACATGGCCCTCTTTATAGCTGAATCATAATAATATGTTCTATGGAAATGTTCAAACCAACTCGATTTAATTATAACCCGAACCCTAATGAATTCTACAGTAGCTGGTACTTAAACTTTTAAGCTTTGGAGTATCCATTATCCACCTTCCATTATCAAACACTGACGTACAAACGTACAATAACTATATATATTATGATAAAATAAATAAAAAATATTAAGTTTAATCGATTGTAATATTTGTATAATATTTTACTTAAATTCAAATAATCATCAACAAAACTATCGATTTACTGAACCCCGGTCCACTATTATCCATGCACTATGCAATAGGATGGACATATGTAATTTTTAATTTTTTTATGTACTTCTATGTAGGTTCCATAGGTAGCCAACTTTCGTTAGAACGCGTACACCCGTTTGTTTCAGACAATTATAGTATATTTGTTTTAATTAGTTTTAATGAATTTTTTTTTTTTTTTAAATAATACCTTCAAATTAAATGTATGCAACGACTAATTATAATATTATAATACCTAATTAACTTAAAAGTCTTAACCTTTGTTTAATTATTCACACAAATTGATTATCCACGCCTCTTTTGGTCCCAATTAGTGCGAATAATTGGCGCTCTGCAAGTAATTAATTTTAGTTTTCATCTTTGATAGTTTCGTTTATTAAAGGTGTGATATATTTCTACGGTTGAAACTCCTTGGAATTAAAATAAATATAAAATAAAATTACAAAATATCGGGAAAAAAATCATCGAACTGTTCTATTTCTTTATCTAATGCTTCATAGATAACTTTTCATTCTGCTTCCCTCTTACGTAGTTAATAGTTGAGTACCTGTACAATAAGCTATATTTAGATTTTGTGTGTAACAAAAGTGATTGGATTTGCAATTATTTTAACGGTGTGTTGTCGGTTGTGATCATTATTTTTCTTGAGAAATCGGTTCATCTACTTCAAGCAATATATTCAAATCATATGTATCCTAACCATTCTTATTCTGTATCCGTCTCCCTTTCATCGTAAACAGATGGTAGGTATTAACTGTTATATTATACTGCACATTTCACTATTTCAGACAGGTCGTTTCCGCAAATTCCGATTCATTTTCGAAGAATTAACACTAAAAGTTCTGTTGAAATTGGCGAGGTAAATAATTGTATTTAGCTGGTAATATACTTATATAGTTATATAATATATATATATATATAACCCAGAATTATTGATTTTGTTTAAATAAACCATAAATTGAATATTCCAAGAACAGTAAAGTTATATTGTTGTATTTCGCTTTAATACATTAACGAGAAAACTTTAAAATACGTTTTTTTTTACGTACGCGTTAATTGGTTGTTTACAGATTAATATTTTAATACCTACGTGATTTTAAGACAATTAGGACTGAACGACAGAATGATCATTCACCTCAGCGCAAGTTAGCATTAGTTTGTTACAGTATTTAAATTAAAAGTTTGATTTACTATTGTGTCCATAGTTCATTAGGGTTTTTGAATGAGTCGGTGGTATTTACTGTTAGTTTGTGTATAGTTTTTCAAAATTTCCCAAATATTTCTGGAAAACTATAAAAAAATGTTTAGCTTTACAAGTATACCTACCTACCATGTCCTTTTCGTAAAACCAATTCTTAGTTCTAATACCTTCTATTGCTTCATTCAAATCTAAAAATTGCTAGTAAGCTATGGCCAAACACAATATAAACATTCCTACTTTTCCTATTTCTACTTTTTGAATTTAAAACCCCTCATCGGTATTCTTAGTTTATCTCGCCACTTGAAATAATTGAATGCTTACGATGTGTTATACTCTGTGTGACTTACCAATAATATTTTGCTCATCATAGTTCAATGTCAAACCAGTTAAAGTGATTATAGGTATTTCTGATTTTTGATTCGAAATACAAATAAATACAAATACATGCCTCTGAGTGTTGATTATTTGAAGTGCTTGGTTTTGTCCAGCTTAAACAATACAATTACCTATAGATAATTAACAAAGAGAATAATATAGGTAATTATTATTTACAGCGCACGTCTTAAACACGAATACAAAAGTAATATAATGCTATCAAAACTAATGGCATTGCACATTTTTTCAGGTACGAAAAACATATACTGTTTCCGAAATTGTTGTCCCAGCACATTGAAGGGTACGAACAATCGCACTCACTTTGTAACAGAGATTTTAAAAAATGTGGAACGTCACGGAGGTAAATATATTATGTACAATATACCTACAGCTATTCCTGTCTAAGTGAAAGGTAGTAATAAATTGTAAAAAACATTTTATATTTAAATTATTTCATTATTTCATTAATTAAGTTAGAACACAGCGTAAGTAATTAGTCCTAGTTTGTATTTCAAATAAATTGCGGTAGTTGGTATGATAGATACCTATTTCAAAAATAAATCAACTTGTCTTTACTTAGGTAAGTACTAACCAAAACCGGTATTACGTTTAGTATATACTTAAATAATAAAGTACCTAGGTTCTGTTCGTTTACAAATATAAAAGCATATGTCAATGACACTGTTTTTAAAAATCACAGAATTTATAAAAAAAGTCTACATTATTATTGTTATGCGTATATATATTGTTTTTAATATGATATTTCAATGTCACAACAGTAACGGGTGTACGGTGAAACGTGAAAACAATTAGAGCTTTCGACTTTGTCAGCAGTACCTACAGATTATAATATAGGGTCACATAAAAGGTTACCGCCATCGTGGTTTCGTCTAAAGTTTAATAATTGCATAATTATATTATGTATTGTGAGTGTTATTCTGTCGTCTGTAATATTGTCAAACCGAGAATTTTTTTGTTTGAGTGGAACTTGAGAGCGTTGATACAAAGGGATTTGTACGAAAGAACGCATCATAATAATATTATATTGTCATAGCCACAGATTCAATAGGAGTAAAAATAGCCAAACGCTTAAGATGCGTTTAAAATTCGGGCTGAAAATAAAAAATTAAAATTAAAATTACTGGAGAAGTCGCTCTGCTGTAAAGTATGTTGATTGTTGGTATCTTATAATTGAGTATGTCATTGATAACTGTAATGCTATGGTAAATTTGAATTCAACGATAAATCTTTGTATACGATGAAAAACGATAATGAGCGGAGACTATGCTAGATCTGTAATCCTATACTTCTTAAGATATTTTTTATTTATGTAACTTCAAGTAAATTATTTCTTAATAAATAATACGTTAAGGTAAACTAATTTTTGACAAAAACAAATCCCATACCTAGTTACTACGAAACGAAATGGTTAGATTTGGTTTGGTATAAATAGTTTAATTTGAATCTAAATATTTTATTGTTTTTTTTTTTTTTTTTGGAAAATTTTAATGTATACAGTAAATGTGTTGTTTACGTAAAATTGCGATCACCTACGATCGATTTAAATTTATACTATTGTTATTTTAATGTATACAGTAAATAACAGTTTAGGTAATACTGGAATAGTTTGTAGGCTTAATATTTTTTTGAAATGATTACAAAATAACAAAAATCGTAACAGGATAAATTTAATATTTTTTTCCCCTGATTATTTGAAATTACTCTGGGAATTTTCTTAATTTTGCAAAGTACCAAATAAATTCGATTTGCTACCAAAAACCACCCTCAACGCTTAAGAATAATCATTTTTAGTCCAATGTGTGTGACCTGTGTAACTCGCTGGTCCACATCCAACATTTTTTACCTGATAAACGAATAACTCATTTGTGCACTACGAAAATGTCGAGAACAGAACGATTACCTATATATATTTTTAAATGTTAACCTACCCAAGGTAAATTATTAGTGATAAATTATCTGTCACAGAAATCAGTACGAATTATCGAATAGCAGTATAAGTAAATCTTAAAATAAAAATAATCTCTAGTGTTATATAATTTTGGATTATATATAGGTACTTTTAGAGTATCACAATGAACAGTAGGTGACTGTGTAATTTTGAATCGTAGGCCTATCAATAGTTTGGAAACTCATGTAAGTACAGCGATGTTACACGTGACATCGAGTTGTACATACACGAGTTTACTTTTTACTGTTTTTTTTTTGCACAGGTTTTAGCTAGAATGTATTTACGCAACAATCATATTGTATTTTTTTGTGCAAAATGAGTTGCAAAAATGGTTAATGCGCTCAAACGAGTCACAGCAGGTGGTGACATACGTAAGTGAACAAAACCCATACAATCTAAAATTTCAATTATTTATATTTTGTTTTCGAAAATATTGAGCCATTCTTTCAATCGTGATGTAAATATGTTATTGTTTTTGTGATATTTTCTGCATTTCTATTATTATATCTATATTAAGAGTGTCTTTCTATTAATTATAAATATCAAACGGTCTGATGAAATTACCAAGTTTTTAAATGCAAATCTAAGCACAATAGGTTTTTGTTAAATTTATCATAATTTAAATAAATAAATAAAAATATATGTATATCAACTATTGAGATATACCCAGGTCATGCGGAAATTTCGCCACCACAAATTCAAATATTCATGAATAATATTATAGTCTTCAAACGCTGGTTAAGTTTTGGCTATTAGAGACTCTCTGCTTTCGAGTCTTGTAGTCCGACACCGATACGAGGAATACGTATATTAAGGATGTATTTACATAGTCGTGAGTTAATTAATATTATGTATAATGTATACTTGTGACCACTATTTACCCAATTCTGGTACATAAAAGGAGTTGTAGTATATCTAACCCCACCTGTACAAATATATGCACTTGTGTGTGTGTGTGTGTGTGTGTGTGTGTGTGTGTGTGTGTGTGTGTGTGATGACATGAATATTATTATGTCAATCTAATCATCGTACACAAGAATTACAGGACTCTATATATATGTATCATCGGACTTAAAGCCGTTCGTGCAGAGCAAAATCGTCGTCGCATCTTTATTACTTAGGTAGACATATTATATCTTAAATTTACCTTTCAAATACGGGTCGAATGGTAGATACAAATTATATTTTATGAGGTATGCTCACGATGGTCGGTATATGTACATATGTCATAGTATGCATAGTTTGATAATTGAAAAAAATCTCAGTCCGTAAGACTAATAGTCTTACGAAAAATGAATTGTGTTATATGAGAAGGGTAAGGTAATTTGGAGGTGCCCTGGATGGCATCATTTTGATATCACCGACATTTTCAAGGATTGTTTTCAGAATCCCAAGTTTTACAACGTTATCTTCAGAAAACAGGATGATTATAAAAAAATTTTTTAAAAATTATCAATTTTCTCTAAGTACAGAGGATGTAGATATAGATATAGGTAGTGCATATGCATAGATTATGCAATATTTCAAATGGACAATCAATGCACTGGCTATTGTAAACGTATATTTTACGCCGGCGTAGACAATGATTAAAATAAATAATAATAATGAACATACTGCATACGGATGAGAGTATAACTGTATGAAGACCAACAACATAGTCTTTAAATCGATTATTATGCTAAGCTAACCATACGGGTACAAAATGGCACGTTACAACTTACAAGTGCTCGTTCACTCATTATCTTGGCAATGTTCGTATTCACTGTTCAGTATAATACATTGTTAGTATAATAAACGTTTTACATTTTGTATTTACTATTTATGCTCTCGTTATCGCGCATCTATATATATTCATATTCCAAGTTAATTGTTAATTATACTGTCAGCTGTCCTATTAATTGTATCGCATAATGTGATGGTAGGTAGGTACTACTGAGATATTATTATTACGCTTTTTCGATTCTTTGTTCGTATTTTTGTACGTTTCCTTGTCTCCAAATTTTTTTTATAAATGTTAATTGCCTCAGTTGTAAACTTTTTGACAGACATAAGAGAGTATAATAAAGGGCCGCATCATGTAATTTGCTGTCGGATGGAAAATTTCTCAACACAGCACTAGACTCTTACGCTGAATAATAATTATTACTGTGGGATTCGCTTGAATAAAAGTAACTTCGCCGCCAGCATATCATAATTTATTTTGTATGGGCTATTATTATGGCAGTCTATCCTTTAGTATTTATTTTTTTTTATTTTTCATTTCTCAGGTAGAACCAGTAGCGTAGCCAGGAGGGTGTTTTGATATTTAAACACCTCCCCTCCCCCATCAGCCATATTTATATACAAAACATAAATGTACTACTTTATTTATATTTTTATAAAATATGTTGTCATATGGTACTATTTCATATTTTAAATTATTAATATGAAAATAAATTACTAAAATGGAGTGTGTAAAGCTCCACGTTTGTTTTATATACATAGGTGTATATAATTTTTTTTAATCTACTCTAAAACATCTTTATTTAAATAACCAGAGGTATAAATACAATACATAGTGGGTACACAATTCACATGATATCAGTAAATAATATATGTTTGCGTTATAGGTACCTCCAATGATTTAACCCATTTATTTAACCCAAATCACTTCAACTAAGTCGTATTGCTTCAAGCGTTTGAGGAGCCTAATCGTTTGCGATTTGTCAACAAATTATTCAGCAGCTTCTTTGCTGTGCAGCTCCAATTTTTCGTTTGTTTGTTGGCAAACATTTTGATCTGGTTCTAGATGGATGATATCTTAAAATATCGATGGATGATTTCATTCCTGTCTAACCAATATGCTACGACAATGGCACAAAGAACACAACCCCACAATCCACATGTATGCCATGAGTGTTTCAAAATATTTTTTAAATGTTATCATATCTAGAGAGTGCTAAAATAATATATATTTGTTGAATAATTCAAGTCTCTACAAATCGTACGCCTTGAACAAGATTGACACAACTCAAAATGTAAAATCTTGAGAAAAAGCAATTTGAAGTTTGAACCTAAGATATTTTAAAAACTTTTTTACTTCTGTTCTCTGTGTTTGAAACTAAAAACTTAAGTACTCGCAAACATACTACATAATATGACTTTTCAAATATTATGAAATACTATTTTAAACCCAAAAAGTTAGAAACCCAATTGCTTAAGTAAATGCAAGCCTTTTTTGAAAGGGTAGACAGTCAAAACAAACATTTAAACCCAATACAGCTATATGCATCTGAGACACTTAAAACTATTTTTGTTCGTATCTATTAGTAAAGTATTTTTTTTTTATAGAATTAACTGAAGCCTTATTTTTCTTGTGTAGGAATTTAATTATTTTAATTATTTACGCCATA